GGCCAGAGTGGCTGTAGCCATGAGCTGTAGCTTCTTGCAGTCTGTGAAACACTGGTGAATGATAGCGCACGGAGTATTCAAAGTAACCTTTCAAGACAAGCTAATGACCACCGTAATAAAACTCACAAGAAAAGAAACTTTCCAAAACTGCATTCTCAAAGCACCACCGGTCTTCACTGTTCAGCTGCCATGCGCTCAAGCTATGAAGAGTCACAAAACCATTCAGATGACAGACTACATGGCCCTGTCTTCTGAGCTGACCTAGATCTCCTGCCATTGTGACCACTGTGGAGAAGGTAAAGGAGTGCATTGGCTGAAGAGTGACTTTGGGACATGTTTGAAATATGTGAATTCATTCCAAAACCCAGATTAAGCACATTTTGGACTCTTCAATCTCAGAGATTAGTATAGTTACCTGTTCTCAAGGACTACTGAAGTTAAATGAGCTATTGTTTATATTTTGTCCAAAGTTCTCCAAGTGACCAAACATAGCCTCTTATGTGGTTTTAGGGAGCCAGGTAAGTGCAGGTGTTTAAGCTGCTGTGACTCAAATATGGGAAGGAAGGATTTGAAATATGTCCAAATCCACAAGGGATGTAGGTGTGTTTCCCACTGATACACACTTTATTAGCGTTGGCCACTATGCTGAACAATTACTGTGGAGAACAGCTGCCCGATAGTGTGTTTTCGCTAGGAAGTCAGGAAATTGGTTGCTACAAAAGAAGGTGAGTTGCTCACCTGTGTGTGGTAGCCTCTATCCAGCAATTTAGTCTGAGAAGATCTGACCCTGAACTTCTGGTGTCCCTTCAAGCACCATAAGCACTGCACAAATGGATGGTGGGCACAAGGGAAGAGAAAGGAGAAAAAGTGAGGAATGGATAGAGATACAGAAGAAGAAAAAAGACTAAGCAAGAGAGGAACCTAACTTTAAAACCTTCTGAAAGGAGATTTCCCTTGGAAGAAATTGCTTCAGTCCTGGTCCCTGCGCCCGGTTTTGCTTATAGATATGGCAGTAAAGAGTAAAGATGAGAAGACATGAACAGGACTGGGATCACGTTCAGCTAAAAAAGGGTGGAAGGCACCATTCTGGAGCTTGCTTATAAGAACACCATCAAGGACATGTAGCTTTCAATGCCTTCAGGTTGCGGAGGACCTGGAACCCCAGTGTTCCCACCTCAGGCAGCTGCAGACCTGATGAAGAAGAGGAAGCTTCCTCCTCCACTTCAAAAGACATCTGTTATAAATCCGGCACAGAGAGGCAGCTTTTTGCTCTCTCTGTAGGAACTCACTGAGCTGAGTGGGCACCGATACTCCTACACAGTGTCAGAGAGCAGAGCACGTCCCCCTGTTCTAGGGAGCTTGGTCACCTGAGTTAAGGAGTTCAGCTGGCTGAGGCCAGGGTCAGCTCTGTCGCTGATGAGAGCTGTGGTGAAGAAAGCTGGAGGCGAGGGCCTGCCCTTCCTTTCTCTTGGACTTGCTGTGTGATCACTGGACTGATCATTGTGATCACTGTCTCTAGACCCAACTCTGATCTGGTCTTGCCATCATTCTTGGCTCCCACCTCATCTTCCCCGGCCGGAGTCCCAGCTAAAAACTCATAGGAGGGAGGTCAGGCCTTCACTTCCATGTTCTGAATTTCTGGAGATCTTCAGAAGTGCCAGCTGTCGTGATTCCTTACAGAACCGGCCTTTCTGACTTTGGCACCTGGAAAGACTAAAAACTTTCAGGTTTAGGTATTGCAAATTACAACCCATAAAATATGTGGTTTGAAACTAGCCCTCTATCTTCAGAAAAACTTGTGTATTGCAATAGTGAATATTGCAGTGCCTAACATTTGGGCACTTTGAGACACAAAATAGCACTTACAAGCCTAGAGAGCAGCAATGTCAGAAAGTAATATAATCAAATGGGGTTTTCCTAAGTAACAGGAGCAGTTTCAGGCTACTTTTCAATTTTCAGTGACTTGGGATTGCCTTACACAGAATTCAGGAACTGTGATTATTTTAGACAGAAAGGTTTTTTAGGAAATAACAGCTGGGGTCCTTAGCCTCAGCCAACCCTATCACTTGGAAATACATTGGTATGAATAAGGTAATTCAGGTACCTTTTCCACTGGCTTAATGTGTTCATGTTGCTGGCAATATTTTAAACCCAGATGAAATTCCAAATGAGATGCAGCAAGTTGAACCAGCAATAAACCACAATGGAGACTCTGCTTTTCCACTTATTAAATTAATCTAGCAAACTAAAACAAGACAGAGAGCATGGTAAGTGTAGTAAAAAAAGGTATAAATATAATATGGGCTGTTTAAAGGTTCATACTTGTTATAATTTTTCTGCATAATGTCAGCAGAAGTAACTTGTATTTCAAGATGTGTCTGCATATATATCCAAGCAGAACAGTTACTTTCTTTTTGGTACCTGAGCTAGCATGTTCAGTAATAACATGGATAAAAGGTAATACTTTATGTCTATACCTTCAGGTACCTTCTGCCATAGTACCTTCAGCTAATCTTAGATGTGATTTGATTAGATTAGATTAGACTAGACTAGATTAGTTAATATTACATGTGGTTTATTTAGTTGCAACTATAAGATTTCACTATAGTTTGCAAATGTTTTCATATTTGCCATAGGAGCCCCTTAAGTTTATTTTTTCAGGAGCCTTCATGTATTCAGAGTTTACAAGCAAAGGAGTAGAAGTGGGAGCTGCCAGATAAAGCTAGTAAGATCTAAGTTCAAAACAAATAACAGCTCATGTAACAGGCTGTAGACTGTCAAAAAATGCTTGCTGTTGGATATTGTAGATGCAAAAAGTTTAGTTTCAATGGGAGAAGTACAGGGCAAAAAAAAATTGGGGTTTGTTAACTAAAAAGACACATCAGACCCAGAAAATATTTTGGGCTGTGATTCATTAGAGGCTGGGAGAATACTTTTCTGGGGGAAGTTACTTGCTCTGTTCTTGTTCCTCCACAGTCATCTTATGGCTACTATTAGGGAGGATACTAGTGAGCAGAGAACTGTGGTCTCAAGAGCCATTTTCCCATGTTTCTGAAGGTTTTCACAGAAAGTGTACACATACAAAAATACATTTTCAATTAGTCTTACCCAGCCAAGGAAGAAAAGCAATACAAAACTCATCTGAGTGATCCCAGTAACTGAAAGGGCCAAAGGTAGTGTAGTAGCTCTGTATAAATTAGTCTAAAGTTTTCAAGAAAATATGCCATCAAAAGTAAATGGCTTTTCAAACCAGTTATTTGTCAGAAAAATATGATATGATCATCCATTGCTTCCTCATTCATGAGGAGCGTCTAGATAAAAGACACTGACACCTTATGTCCCCTGATATTAGCTCTGTATACACTGGGTCCAGTTGTGCCAGTCTGTTTCTCTATAATCAGAATTGTATCTACAGTTATGTGCAGGTTTCTACTATTCTTTTCCTTCTGTCAGGTTGCTTTTGTGCCTGCTAATGCTTTTCCTCCTTTGCTTTGTACTCCAAGCCCTTACCTTCCCCCGGAATGCTAAAAGTCCAGTGTCACCCTGGGCGCAGCGAGTAGCTGGATTTCTCCTCTAGGGTTTGTGCCCAAAGCTGGGCATTTTTAAGTGACCTGAGAGTTGTTTTGAGCAGGCCTGAAGTGATACAGTAAGTAAGGCAGGAGCTGTTTAGTTTGGTGACTGTGTGACTTAGTCAATTTGAGTCAAACCTGTGATGGTGACAGCCAGCAGTTAGTTGTAACCAGAGTTCATTTACTTCAACTGATAGCAAAGAGCACTACAAAGCACTACCCCTACCCCGAACAGTGGGTTTTTTCCCATCATCTTCTGATGAAGAGTCTGTGATTTTACAAATAGGGACTCTGCTGTTACTAAGGCCTTTGTCGCTTCTGGATTGAGCTGCAGTGGTACAACTGATATGGTAAAGCTGAGACACAGTGGGATTGTATGTTTATAAAATCTCAATTCCAGCCATGAGTTGCACATTGGCCCTCAGTGGTTTGTACTGGCCGCCCCTTGGCAGCAGGATATCCGTTATTTGTTCTGTCTTAGGAGTTTGTCCCGCTTTGGGACCCCCAGCACCCAGGGCAGTGCCATTTGGGGAGACCAGATCTGCTCCCGAATGAGCTGCTCTCTCCAGACAGGGCCCAGTCGTGCCATGCAGAAGTGTTAGCTGGAGGAGAGGGTGTGTTGGGAGAGACCTGCAGCTGCCTCAGTGCAGTGCTTCATTCAGGCCTTGTTCCATGAGCTGCTGAACTCAGATGAGTGTCACGAGCTGCTGCCTTGGTTGGGGTCCCTTGGTGAGGATGTGCCCAGGCGGGCATGGCGCTTGCCAGTGAAGAGCTGATGCAGTTCCCTGCTGTGGCAGCTGAGATCTGTTCAGCCACCTGTTTGGAGCAGCTGTGAAAGAGTGAAGAGCCTGCATGTTGGTGTGCGTGTGTCCTTCAGCTTTGAAATTCCCTTTAGTTCCCTCTGAGCATACTGCCAGACCCTTCTGGGGAGGACCTAGGAGGTTGGGCTTTGGCAGATCTAGAGAGCTTCCTGTAGATTTCACATATAATTATAAATCATACAAGCATTAACTTTTCTAGACTGTTGTTTGTATGTGGGAAGAGATGCCTATTAGTTCACATGATGCATACATCTTGTCACTGAGCCCTTCACTAGCAATCAATAACAAATTGCTACATTTTAGGACAGAGATATAAAATAGTGGTGTCTTAAAGGAGAAAAATCATGGCAAAAATACAACTATTACCTAGGAAAATAGGATACAAGTTTTAAACTTTGGTATTATTTTTGTACTGTGTTTTTAGTTGATGGCAGGGATGCCTTGGGTGTTCTACTATATTATTTAAATCATGTACACAACCTAGAGTTAATGCAGTCTTTCTCTGATAATCAACTCTCTGTTCCAGAGTTAATGAGTAGGATGTTTTCTCCCTCTGAACAGCAGGACATCTGTGCTTGCTCTACTAGCATGTTCTTTTTCCTTTCTTCAGTCCCACTCTTGCCATGGCCCACAGGAATCTGACTGGGAGCTGTAATGTTAACTGTGGATGTAAGATTCATGAGTACGAGCCTGTCTGTGGATCAGATGGAATAACATATTTTAATCCTTGCCTAGCTGGCTGCATCAATGGTGGAAACCATAGCACAGGGGTAAGTGCTTCACCCACCCACTCACACACAACTCCCGAACAGCCCCTCGAGACTGATGCAGATCAAAGACTGCTCTGTTTCTAGCACAAGCATCCCCCCTCTAAGCTTCAAAGAAGTTGCTCTGCAGCTAACTTCTGTGTGAGTCTTTCCATGTTTTGAAAGGCTGGTAATGCTACTATTGCATGGTCCCACCCCTCTTCCTTTCAGTTTCGTACAAATTTGAGGCACAGATTCATTTGTACCAAGTGAATCCTCCAGCCAAGTGAGTGAGAAACACCACGGGGTGGGGAGGGATGGTGTTTCCAGTACTGTCCAGTCTCTGAAGTCCCGGATAGCAGTGGCCTGCATGTCTGCTGTTCCTGCAGAGCTTGGAGAGGGGACCTTGAGTCTGTGTCATCTAATTCAGCTTTCTGCTAACATAGGCAGCCATGTCATGCTATCTTTCCGCAAGCTCATCAGTGTTACTCTTAGGAGAAATTTTGGGGTTTTTTTGTCTCCCTCTTTGAATGGAAGGAAGAACTAGGTAGTTGGAAGTGTTTTAAACTCTTGCTTAAATTTAGTTAAATTTAGTTATGGGCTGTTTAAAGTCATTGGTGTTTGTGTCAGCCTCATCATTTTGTATAAGTTGCTGTTCCACCTGCACTGATACATCTTTTGTTTGCATGGCTAAATAAAGACTGCCCATTTATTCTGCTCTTGTTAAATAGTTTGGCCATTCTCATAGTTTTTCTCTAAAGCTTTTCTAGGCTAAATGAAGTGATTGTAATTGAACTCAAGTAACCAGAGCTTAAATGATGTTAATAATCCACTTTCTTTCTTGGAAATATATTGCCTGTTACAACCCAGTCTTCCAGTTATGCTGGACTGGGAGAGGACATCCTGCTGGTAAAATCACACCATGGAAATTTGTCAGTTTCCAGGACTAGGCACAAGAAAACAGTTGAAAAGTAGAATCTGACAGAAGTTTCAGCAAAGCATTGTGGTTGTGCTCATTTCATATAAAAAACAAACTCTTAAATTCTTCAGTTTCAGAACTATCCTTTAAAAAAGGATGATTAAGAAAGACAGGAAGTAATGTAAACATTGATTTCCTCAGGACTTGATTATGCTTTCCAGAAAGCTTATTTGTAATGTATCAGTCTCATGATGTGCAGTCCTGAGCCAGCCTGTGAAGCAGGACGATGTTAGGTCCAGCACCACGCTTTCTCAGGTTTGACTGGAAAATGGTCGAAATTGCAGGTTTGTACGTAGATTCCACTTAGACCAGATTAATTTCCTTTACATTTTGGTTTTTATTTTTTAGAGTATCTTACTGGTTTTTAATACAAAATTGCTTTGACCTAATGTGAAAAGCCTGTGATGTGAGCCTGTGGTTAACTTTCATTGTCTATATAAATCTTATTTGTGCTTTGCTGGAATGAGACATAGGTTTGATCTTTGCTACATTTCACCTGATGTCAAACTGGCACTAATAGTTAGTTCATTCAGTTGGGAGGTTATTTGAGAGTACGTACTCTTCACTACCGATTTTGAAACATACTGTTTCCTCGTATGATTTAAGAAAAGATCCTTCATGGCCTGAAGTTTTAACTCAGTAGCTAATGGTGAATAGAATAGGGCTGATATGAGTAGGAAAATACGTCTTCATTAAATAATGCTTTATGTAAGACACTTCTAAAAACAATAAGTGTAAGCTTGTGTCACTCTGTAACACACAAAATGTTTCTAACTTATAACATTTGGATTAAAGTTTATAACATATAGTTTTTTTCAAAATTAACCACTTAAAAATTGAAAGTAGGAGAAAAAGATGCCTCTGTATAGTTCGTACCTATTTTTTATATATATTCCTACACTCTAGCATTTTTGTTGTCTCATATCTGTGTCTTTTAGTGCACAGACTTGGTTGATCTGGTGATGAACTAAGATTGTGTAGCAAAAAGGTCTATTTTCTGTAGGATGCCTGTTTGGAAGCAGTAAGTAGATTAAGGTGAGGGACTGTCGGAAGAAAGCAAATACTCATGTGATATTAGACAGGACAGTGTAGTGCTGCCTTGGGAAACTGGATTCTGTCATTGGCTCCATTCCTAAGTGATGTTGGGAATGTCACTTAAACGAGACCTCTCACAGTTGGTCATTAATTTTGTATTCTTCATATTCTGGATGATGGACATGAGCAATAACCAGAAGTGCCATTTGTAGAAGCACTGTGTGCCTGAATCTGTATCTGAAGGCACAAAAAGTTTAATTTAGAACATATTAAGTTGTATACAATGGAAAAAATTCTGAAAAAAAGGATCCTGGCTGCCTCAAATTTGCCACCCACATTTGTGAAACTTTTGATCTGTTTGAGTTACTTAACTACACAATAGAGATAACAACATCAGTACCTCATCTCATAACTGTTTTGAAGATAAATTACTCCTTTTTGAAAGAATTACAGTATACTAATGAGTGTGATAGAAGAATCCATATGAAATATGAGTCATTCTGTCTTTGTAGTGGAATATGTTTAGTATGAGGAAGAAAATACCTGGAGTCACATTTTGAAAATGGGAGGTAAAATACTGGATAAATTGATACATTGTTGAGATATTCAGCTAAATCTCATGGAAAAAAATGTGAGGCTTATGTCATAACACTAGCACATACAGAGGTGTACATTAAAGTTGACAAATAACCCTAATTTGGGGTTATTTATATATAAATTTCCTTATTTCTCTGTTTTTTTTTTTCTCCTGTATGCATACCATCCACATCCACAGTCAACTGTAGGTTGTTGCTCTTTAGCCGAATCTGGCAGCTGAATCTGCCATTTCATTGAGATGGCAGAAGACATCTCCTGAAGATCGATGCTGACAGCCTGCCAAATTCCAGAATATGGCGTAGTCAGTGCTTCTTAAAGAGTGTTTCCTCACAGTTTTTGTAATACAGTGGAAACAATCTTTTTCTCCAGCCTCCCTGTCAGAAGTGATGAATTATTTCAGCAGAATTTTCCAAAAATATTCCAGAATTTTTTCTAAACTCAGTCTAAACAGTGGAAGTTGTAGGCAATGGAAAGGCAGTCTCATCACAGAAGGTCCTGGCCAGTTTTAAAAATACTTGGAGCGGTAACCTCAATTGTACTTGGGATAATGACACTGGAGACAGAGAGGTACCATGGGACTGTTGTACCATGTCTCTGTGCAATGTCTTTCTGGCTTGGGTTTTTCATGTGAAAATGTTCCTCTTCACTCTCCCCAGGTAAGAAATTACACAGAATGTGCCTGTGTCCAGAGTCGCCAAGTGATCACTCCACCGACGGTTGGCCAGCGCAGTCAGCTCCGGCTGGTTATTGTCAAAACCTACCTGAATGAGAATGGCTATGCTGTTTCTGGGAAGTGTGATCGAACCTGCAACACGCTTATCCCCTTCCTGATATTTCTCTTCATTGTTACCCTTATAACAGCATGCGCCCAGCCGTCAGCAATCATAGTGACACTCAGGTGAGAACTCAGTTATGGTTTTTTAAGTGTTTTTGCTGTGCGTGCTCTCACCAGTGCCAGTGTCAGAAGAGGCTGGGGCGATGCAGCCAAACTTCTTCAAGCTTGTGTATCCTTAAAAAGTGAATAGAATAGGGCTGACATGTATAGGGTGGAACTTGCTTGTATTTATAGTATGTAACATCATAATCCACTTTAGGAAACATGAAGTGCCCAGTGATTTCCAGTCACTCAAAAGAGAGAACAGGTAAAAGTAGGGGAGGAAGAAAATGAGATAATTATTTTCTAGGATTTACAAAGCACACCCATAGGTATTGATTCTACTGGTAACAGAAGGACAAAGAGAATGGTTTAAAGATGTTGATGCAGTTTGGAATCTGAAGCTGAAGAGCTCTCAGAGTTCAAGAAGTAAGTTCCTTTCAGACAGATATGAGCTGGAAGACAGAAAAAAATAGAATAGAATAGAATAATATAGAATAGAATAGAATAGTTCAGTTGGAAGGGACCTACAATGATCGTTTAGTCCAACTGCCTGATGACTTGAGGGCTGACCACAAATCAAAGCCTGTTATTAAGGGCATTGTCCAAACACTGACAGGTATGGGGCGTCAACCACCTCTTTAGGAAGCCTGTTCCAGTGTTTGAGATGCTCTTCAGAAGCACACCCAAAATGATCCAGATGTGAATGGGCATTCAGTCCCTGGGACCAGGTTAGAGCTGGCCTGAAGTAAATCCCTACAAAACCTGAAATACTTGTGGTGTAGATGTCAGGTCCTCAGCACAAGCTGTTTAGCTGTTTAAATCTGCTTCTCTGGTGTGGCATTAACTGCTAACTCTGTCCCAGCTGAAACCAGGACACCTAGAGACATCTTTTGACCTGTTTTTGTGTAAAATCTCTCTCCAAATTGAGCTTTTTTAAACTAGTCTTGGGCCTTTTCTTTCAGTGAGCCAATCCCAGCCAAGTGAGATCTTCTCATAGTGTTGTCTTTGTCTCTTCACTCTGATGATCTTTGTAATAGGTCATGGAGCCTTAGAAAACACGAGGCAGATCAGGACTCAGCTCTGCTCTCCTTAGGCTCAGCTGTGAGCACAGCTCTGAAACCCTTTGGCAGGCATCTGTGTTCCATCCCCAGCAAGGAGGAGCACTCTCTTGCTGCCATTTTCTCAGCTCAAGTGGCTGAGGTTTATGCAGGAGCCTGCTGCTGACGTGTGGAGGACTGTGCCATGTCATGTGGTGGAATTTGTCTTCCAGTTTGCTTTTCAAAAAAGCTACAAAATGGGTGCAAGGTTCACTGTTAGGACTGTGGAGCCAGCCACTGGGGAGTGGGCACATCAGACTTCCAGTTGCTCGTGCAGCCCAAGCTCCAACGCTGTGTGCGCAGTACTGTTGTAATTCAGAAACTTCTGACCTTATTCCTTCTGTCTCTGGATTTTCCACCTGTCCAATAAGAATAATAATAAAGAAACCCCATTATAATTGCACCGCAGTTATGCAAAGTAAACTACAAAGAACATTAATATTGCAGTGAGCCTCACAATAGCAAGGTGCATAAGGGACATTTTGAGCAGGATTTTGTAATGTTCAGTTAAAAAAGGGTGGCCCACACACATGAACAGTGACATCCACTGTCCCAATCCACATATATTGCACAGCACATCTATCCAAGATTTCTGGCCCAGGTTGTTTCTCTGATTTCTCAATTTCTGAATGCTTGACTTCAAAACCATGATTTTACAGCTACACGCCTTTGACTGCAGTCTTTTTGTGTGTTTTTATCTTATATTTTTATGTCGTTAGAAGCTGCCTATCTTAATTTCAGACCTTTAGGTTAAGATTTAAAAATGTTTTCTAAATCAGAAGAAAATTTGTGGTTTACTAAAATTGTAGTTGCATTGTAGAATATCATTACTTTGTATTTAGCCTTTTGAAAGCTTGACATTTTTCCTTTGAAACCAATGGAAGAAACCTTGTATTACTTGTATTGAAAAGGAACACTGTTTAAAGAGACTGGATGTTTCTACTGATGTTTTTCCTAAAGTAGCTCCAAAGTGCTTATGCAATGCAGAGATCTGTTAAATTCAGAAATTGAGTCCAGGTTTCAGCAATTTAATTCTCCATTGATTCTAATCTATCAGAAAAAGATTAAGAAAATAAAACAAAACATTATATGAAATAATAGGAAACTATCATGAGAAGCCATGAACATTTTCGATGTATTCTGTAAATTTCCGTAATGGGTTTGCATCAACTTCTTCAGGCCTTACACAGGTAAAGAAAGGATAAAAGATATAATTGAGATTTTGATTAAACAGGGACAAGAGAGGCTGGCTGTATTTTTTCCTAGTGGTAGGAGTTAACAATATTGGAAGCTAAGCAGAAGAAATTTAGACAAAGATTTTTTATAGCTCAGAAAAAAGCCAGGAGGTAGAGCCAGAACATACCACGATGTTTATCTGTTATGACTATTTCTTCAGAGGAGTTTTCTTTTTGCCTGCTAGGTCTGTGGAAGATGGGGAGCGGCCCTTTGCACTAGGAATGCAGTTTGTTTTATTACGAACTCTTGGTAAGTCTTATAGTTACTCAGCATTTCCATAATGGCTCACCACGGTTGACTTAAGTGTACCATAAAAGTACTAAATTCCATAAATCTCCAATTAATTACCTGACTAATTGTATTAGGAACCTAAAATTAATAGTTTGTGAAAATGTTGTAGCTGAGAATGTTGTTTTTTTTTTTTTGTAACCGACCTTCTAGAACAACATTTTTATCCCAGAAAGAGATATTTTTACAGTTTCAAATTCTATGTAAAGATTAATAGTCACAGTGTTATTTTATAAGGATTTTTTTATTTTTTAGAAGCATATTTTTATTGATTTCAGCAATAATGACAGCTTTTTGCATTTTTAAAATAAGAAGCAATTGTTACTTAATGTCTAATTTCAGACATTTCAAAGCAAAAAGAGTACATGTTAAAAGTCTTTATTCCAAAATGTAGTTTTTTGCAAGCTCTTGAACTTCTAAAACCCTGCCTATAAAGAACGCTCCAGGTGTTTGGCTACAACAAAAAGTATGAGTAGTGCAAGCAAGGACTGTTCTAAGAGAACAAGAGGAGAAGCCAGGATAGCTGCATCTAGAAGTTTTCTTGGAGGAAGGACATTTCTGATTTGTCTTAAAGGTGTCGCATTTCTTGAGGAAGTAGGAGCATTCAATGGGCTGGCTGCATTTTTAGCAGCCTTAGAAGCTGAAGTCTGTTTCTGAGGGAGATCTATCCAAGAGAAAATTTACAGTTTTATTGGTCTCACCACTTCCTTCCATCTTCAGTGACAGAAACGTTTTGCTGTCTTTGGGGCTTTTTCTCCTTAATCTAAAGCAGCAACCCCCACCCTTTTCCAGCTCATGGGTAGTGGGTGTTCAGCATGTAACACTGTGGAGATAATGTCGTATTCTGTTCCTCTCCTGTATTTTATTTCCTGAGAGCAACATTGGATTTTCTTTTGGGGGATGCGTAGTTCAAGAAGAGTTGCCTGGGGATGCCAGATTGAAGCAGTACCTGTTGTAACGTGCTGTTCCATTGTCTTCTTTTCTTGAATTCTTCCCCATTTGTGGTACGTTTTATGTGTGGAATAAGCAGTGTTGGTGGGAAGACTGGCTGACCAGTTTTCCATGTTTTACATTTCATGTGAGAACAGCGGTGCAGAAATCTCAAAAATTCTTAACCTACACTGTTTGGCTAAGGCATATAGTTTCTTTAGATGTTTTGCACTATATGTTAACACATATTATTTCTGTTGCTATTTTTATTTCAGCTTACATTCCCACTCCAATTTATTTTGGGGCTGTTATTGACACCACGTGCATGCTTTGGCAACAGGATTGTGGCGTACAAGGATCTTGTTGGGAATACGATGTCACCTCATTTCGTTTTGTCTACTTTGGGTTGGCAGCTGCTCTCAAGTTTGTGGGATTCTTTTTTATTTTCCTGGCCTGGTATTCCATTAAGTGTAAAGAAGAGCAACTGCAGAGACGGAGATGGAGGGCTTCGCCGGTGAACACTGTGAGTGAGATGGTTGGCCAAGCTGGACCCCAACAAAACTATGCACGGACTAGATCCTGCCCTACCTTCAGTTCCAGAGGAGACATCAGTGTGGCACAAGGAATGAAATGCATGGCACAGACATACTCTGGCCCTTTTTCAGAAGCAATAAATTCCTCAAATGAAAATGCATTGGAAGAGGTCACTGCTGAGATATAGACCCCTGGCTTGGTAATATAATATTTAGGTTTGTTGGTTGACTTAATTATGGCGCCTTGTAAAACACCTGTGCCTTCTGTTTTTAATCTAAATGTGACACGTGATAAAACCAACAAAGCTTAATGCAAACAACCATAGTATGTTCCTGAGGGCTGGATACCTCAAACCAACCCAAGTTCTTATTTCTCCCCTCTCAACAATGGAGTTTTAAAAATTGTGTTTGTAATTATTTCAGATGTGTCCATTAAATGTCCATGCTCTGATCTAGTGTCAATGTAAGGGTGAGGTATTATGAACAGCAAAAGTCAGTGGAAGAGTGACAAAAACTCATATCGTTGATGTCTAGACGTCACAAAAATGCTTAAATGTATCGTCAACTTCATATCCACAAATTGTATTTTTAAAAGATCAGTAATTACTGTGAGTTCTGCTACAAAGCACAAGTGAACTTGTTTAAACTATGCAACTTATTTGGATAATTGTATGTGCAGCAAATTAAGTTTAAAGCTTGCTTTTAAAGACATTACTGCAACTGAATTTGAAAGGGGCTATTTTCAGACATAAGCATTAAATTAAAAAAGAACATAAGGTTTAGAGTACTGTTAATAACACGTTAAGCCATACAAAAGTTATGCATCAGGTAACGTTTGCAAACGTTGAATCCTAATATCTTTATCCTGTCAAAATGTGCATTAATTTTCGTTGGATGGGATGTAGTCATTCTTCACAAAGTACACAGGCTAAGAAAGTATAACGCTCGGAGTAAAAAACTTCAGTATTAATTTATAATAACATTAAGTTGTAGGAATTGTATACACATACTAGAGTGGGTATGTGCATATTTCTGTAATGCTATTTGGGTGGCCGTCACTAGCGCCAAATCCATACTTTTCTTGAAGAAGGAAATAATCAGTTATAGCTTGATAGGAAGATCTTGGCTGTCTACAGAAATGCATGCCAATCTAGTTCAGCTTTGGTGAAAAGATATCGAAGGAGGGCTAATGGCCTTGTTTCATGTCTGAGCGGCTGGCTGGGACCCATCCGGACCCTGCAGCCAGTGATGGTGCAGGGCTGGGGCTGGCACCGCTCACTGGCTGCTGCAGGAGGGAGCAGAGAAACCCTTCAAGTGGGCTGCAAGCAGCCTGCTTGGCCCGCTGCCCGGTACAAGGCTTTCCTCATGACTCCTGGCACCGCTGGGGTGCTGTGCTCCCTGTCAGTGAGGACAGCTGGGGAGGGGTGCCGGCTCAGACCCTGGGTCCCTCTCATTTCTGCCCCACTTCTGCCTCTCCCACTGCCCCGTGCTAGACAGGCTGGTGGGACAGGCCTGGAGGTCCTAGTTGTATGGCTTGTCCCACACGTGGCCACCTTTCCTTTTCTCAGCTTCATTGAAAGCTTCTGTGAAGGCAAAGGGTGGGTTGTTTCTCCTTTTCTCTTCCAGGGGAAGAGCTAAGAATAGAAATTGTCTGTCAAGCGTGGACCCATGCGACATGACGTGTCTTTTTGCTTATTCCAAATTACTGTATTGTGTTTTATCCCCAGGAGATGCTGAGACTTTCTAATCAAATGTACTTGGCATTTCATTTCTTCCTCTGGAGGCTTTGTAGTTCCATGCTTATGATGTACTAATGATGTCTCAAAGGGCAGAGAATGACTTCAGGTGGACACTAGGAAGTCAGAACTGTATTTTGCCCTGCAGGGAAAGTCTTACAAGTTTAGGAAATTAAAAATGCTCTTTTAAGAGGACTCAGTGATAGTCAGGTTTGGATTTTGCCATGTAGAGAGCTGGCTTGAAAATAAATCAGAAGGAGCAGAACTTCTACACATCTTTGAGCAGTTAGTCCTGGTTTAATTTTTAATTTATACTGTGTAAGTTGAACAAACATTATATGAAACTAAGTTCTTGATATTAAAGGCAGTGTTCTCCTTGGCATCCATTGAGTTGTCCTGGAAAGAGCAGATTCCCTTTCCTCCTTTGTTGGCTGCCTTTCCTCATCTCCTGGGTCTCTTTGACCAGCACATGGGGCTACCCACTGGGCTGGTTCCCCTGCTTGAAATGGTGGCTGCGTATTTCAGAATGTGTCAGTCCATTTATGTGGCTTGTAATGACTCCTACTCTCTCTGTCTGCAAACTCAGATGCTTTTACCCTAAAACTTCAACACAGAGGAATATAATTTTAATCACCTCCTGCTATTCTGTACATACTAATAACTTTTTGGGGTCAAGCCTGTGAATTAGATTTTTGTCTTGTGCAGCCACCAGGCACACTGCATCCTGTCAGCATGTGCCACCTGAGATGTTAGTTTCTACACTTCTCATCCCGAGGAATGAATTTCCTTGGCTCAAAGGTATCTGGCTTTTTTTTTTTTTTTTCATAGGAGATCAGATAGATGATAAACTTGTTTCCTTTTGCTCCAGTCTCAAATGCTTCTTGCACCAAGAAATTCCTGCCAGGGCAAAAATTGAGGCAAAGTAGTAGGACAAAGTGTAATTGCAGCCCATCACCCATCCATTTTAATCACTCGGCCATTTCAATCAGCATGGGATGAGGTGAAGAGCGACAATCTTTTCCAATACCTCAGAAACATGACATTTAGGGAATTGTAAAAGGCTGGAGATTAATCGTTTATCCTGATCTATTCTATTACATGCCTTATGTGTGCTTCTGTTCCATACGAATAACAAGAGAGAGCAGATTAGGCTTGTAGAATTGTCGGGAGCTGACACTGATGGTAGAGAAGGAGAATGATAGAAGTGACACACCTGCAACTGCTGCTGCTTCTGAGCTCATTTCAAGGGAATTTGGAGCTTGTTGGAATGGAGACCACCTGGTTTTTAGGAAATCCTGACACTTCAACTTTTAAAAACATTAATTTTTTAAAGTGTTTGAGAAACTGGAATGTAGAAGGAAAGATGGTCACTTTGGCAATACCGAAAAAACCTTGTTTACATACTTTCAATAGCCTTTTAATTTTCCTTTCAAAATTTTATGCAAAACAAAAAGTAAGTACTTTTCAAACAAGTTTGTTAGTAGGATATAGATAATCTTGACAATATGAATATATGTGTACAAAATAATTGAATTAAATCAGCATCCTCTGAAAGCAAGAAAACCCAAACTCTGGCCAGTTTTTGACTGATTCTTGAAGGAGGCTTTATTGTGAGTAAGCTGTAACCATCTAACTGCACCAATAAAGGCATGCAAGGGAAACACATTAACTTCCTAAAGAAGTCAATTCCAACATTGTCAACATTGACTGAAGTATGGACCCGGACCTGCTGAGCAAGCACTATTTTCTGAGGTTGTCATTGGTGAAGGAAGCAGAATCACCAGAGAAGTTGTGTGCATCCCTACCATAGTCATGATCGATGTGTGGTGCTACACCAACTCACATGAAGAAAAAAGCAGCATTATCTGTCACCTAGTGAAGGTGGCCATGCTGTCTTCCTGCTGTGAAATCCTCTGACCAGCGAATATAAAATTCCATTAACTTGTAATTCCTGCCACCTTCCCTCCCTATCCCTGAACACCGAAGGCTGGATAGCAGTGAGCACAAGGAAATGCACAGCAGGGGTCCTGCCTGCCGGCTGCTATCGGTAGCAAACCCAAGTTGTCTACCTGCAGTTAACCAGCCAGGACTGGAGGCAGGACATAGAGCAGTGACACCCTGCAATTAATTACAAAGTGCCATCATGCCATCACAAGGACAGACTAATTTCCTCTTATACAAATTATTCCTGATTTAGAGTGAGGGACATGAGAGGAGAAGTAGCCCTGATACATGGACTTGACTGAAGAGGTAATTATCCCTGCCCAGCCTCCCGTGCATCCTTGTTTCCTCAGAAAGGGGAAAACTTCAGAAAGGGTGTAGCCATGGCCTTGCGTGCTTATGAGTGTAGCACCCTCAGGAGATGGTTCGTAGAGCTTTTGGGGGCTGTGGTCTTGGCTAGAATATCTGGAAAGTGGGATTCTGTATTTCTAATTCTTGGCAAAAGCCCTATGGTTTTGGTTCCCCTTTTTCCCCATGAGCATACTGGATATGATATGGTATAATTTGAAAATGGTGGCATTTTATATCCTTTTAGTACAGTGTAAGCAGCTGCAAGAAACATGCTGAATATTACGGTGCAGTTTATATTTAATTGGAGCCTTCCAGTTCTTTGACCAGCCATTGTATCTTTAAAAGTGCAATGCAGTAACATGCAGTTCCTCAGAACTTGCTGTTCAGTAAGAGGCACAAATCTCCTCCTAGGTATTAGAAATGTAATTTTTGAAAGCCCCTAAATTAGTTAAAAATACTCGAGTGTAGTGTTCTCAAAAAAAAATATTTTCTTTTTTAAAAATATAGGTTATTCATTTGTAGTATTAACCATTCATTATGGTTCTGATCCAGCAAAACACTTAAATATGTGTGTAAGTTTATGTACTTAAGTAATGCACTTAAAAGTAATGCATGTATGTAAGTATTGGACTGAATTGCACCTGCATTCCAAAAGGAGTTCCTTTACCCAAAGAGTAATTTCCATGCTGAGCTTTTTTCCCCATGGATTCAGTGATTGTTGTAACCAGAACAGCACCAAGTAGCACTCGAGTACTCCCCTGTGGCATTCACGTGTGGTTAGTTATATAGCTGGCAATGGAGGAAAGCTTTCATTTTCAAACACAGTTAAAATTAAAAATATTTTGTGGACATGCTCAAAGACACATTCTATCTCTTCCTGCCATTCACTTATTTTATGAATTTCTGACTGAAAATCTGTGCATTATGTGGGAAGATAAATGAGCACATCTTTCTGACCTTGAAGCCCATGGAATCACTCAAGTGATGCTGTCGGTTCGGATTGTGCTCTGTCTCAGAAAATGGACCTAGAGGTTCAGGTGACAAATTTCCAGTATCTCATACAAACAGAGCAGAGCTCTGCCTGCTCTGTGTAACTCCAGATGGCATGGCTGGGAGAGGGGTCGGCACCTTCTGGACTGTTCTTGTGGGTTTTTGCCCCAGATGCCTGAATTATTGCTGCCTTATTTAATTTTCTGTGTGTGTAATACTACAGCTCTTTGTGATGTTATATTGACACAAAACTGATGATAAATAGGTCCAAAGTGTCTTAATGCTGTTTTGGAGCCAGATTCTCAGCTCTGTCAGTCTGATGATGAGGCTGAAGAACTGGGCCAGGACTTTGGG